CCCCCCCCCCCCCCTCTCCCCCAGCGCGCGCGCAGGGGCGTGTGAATGAGTTCGACGCGCGCGCGCGCGAGGAACCCGTTTTGTCAAACATGACGGGGACCGTTGAGTGACATTGGCTCTCTGTAGAAGTCGCAAGAGCGCGTGTTTTTTTGTTGTTTGAGAACTGAGGTTGCAAAGCCAGTTTTTTTCGTGCGTGGCCCGAAATTTGTCTCGCGGGAGGTAAGCTATTGAACTGAACTGAACAGATCCGACTGGCCGTGCCGGTTGCGCGACGGTTTTGTTCTCGGCCGCCACGGGACGCAACCTATTGCGCAACCGATAGGGGGCGGTTTTATCCTCGGCCGCCGAGGGCGCAACCTATGGCGCAACTGATAGGAAACGAGGGCGCCACCTATGGCGCAACCGCTCGGAGATGGTTTTATTCTCGGCCGCCGAGGGCGCAGCGCATGGCGCAACCGCCAGGGCGCGGTTTTATTCTCGGCCGTCGAGAGCGCAACCCTTGGCGCAACCAATAAAGACGGTCTTATTCTCGGCCGCCGACGGCCCCACCTATGGCGCAACCGATAAGGGGGCGGTTTTATTCGCGGGCGCCGAGGGCGCCACCTATGGCGCAACCGCTCGGAGACGGTTGTATTCTCGCCCGCCGAGGGCGCAAATTATTGCGCAACCTGTGGCGCGTCCTAGGTGCCGGGAGACAGAGGATGAGCAGGAGGAGGAAGAAGAGAAACGAGGACGACGTCTTAGACGAAAGCGACGAGGAGGAGTTGCAGCAGGAAGAAAACGAGGATGACGAGGAGGGTGAGGAGGAGGAGGAGGAGGGCGAGGAGGAGGAGGACAACGACGACGAGCAGGATGGGGAGGAGGACGTAGAGGAATCAAAGTAGTACGAGGACGAAGTGTGTGCATTCGACTGCGCGCGGGGCCACGCTCGATTCGTGCTCGCCGTTTGGGCAGGGGGCGGGGCCCAAGCGGCGAGTTGTCTTGTGATTGTATGACAGGTTCTGGGGGCGTTCGATTTAGAAATAATTTCGTACTCTAATATTTTGAAAAGGGCTTCGGCATGCGCGCGCGACGACTCGCGCGTGCGCAGTTCGTCCCATCCATTGCATGGGGTTCCTGAAAATTGATGATTGTGTGTGTATATGTATGTATTGTTTTGTTTTTGTTTTGTGTGTGTGTGTGGGTGTGTGTTTTGTTCTTTGTTTTTTTTCTCCTGGGGCTGGCGGGCGGGGGTGGGGTGGGGGGGGGGTCGATGCTGGCTGGGTTGGGGCGGTGCGAATTCATATTTAGAATGCTCGACATGGCAGAGTCATGCGTAAATTTCTCATCCCCAGCGCGGGCGGATAATCCCGGTTTTGGGCGGGTTGGGGGCGGGTTGGGGGCGGGGCGGGGGGCGCGGGGTGGTCCCAGCCATTCTGTAGTTTTTTTTTTTTTTTTTTTTTTTTTTTTTTTTTTTTTTTTTTTTAAAGCAAAACATACTTATATGTATGTATCTATTATATGTATGTATACATATATACATACACATATACAGTGCGATCCATGTCGCTCACTCTTTGTGGCGCGACCTACGTCTTGTTTTTTTTGTTGCGAACGGGCTGGCAGGTTCCATGCCCTTGCAAACGTCCCACCCACCCGCGCGCAACTTGGTTTGCAAAACCCATGCGGCGGCGATTGCAATGAGTGCTCGGCGTTTGCTGGTGCGTCTCTGCAGCCACGCTAGTCAGCGCGCGATCGCGCACGCAGCGGCCGGCTAGTTTGGCGCGACTGACGCGGCGGCGGTGGCACTCGCCGCTGGGCACTTCCCATCGGGCGCATCCGCGAGAGTCGGCGATTTGGGCGGGCGCCAGGCGTGGTATCATGGCGATGCCGACAACGGTTGGCACGATTATGAGAGTAACGATGCTGGTGGCGATGGTGGCGATGACGACGTCGAGGCCAATGACGGCGCCAATGTTGATGGGCGCTCGCCGATAACGATGACGACGTCCTCGCGTCAGCGATGGAGGTTCTTGTAGGAAATCGACGCGCGCGCGGCCGACGCGCGCTAGTGACCCGCGTGGACTTATTCGACACGGATCGTGCGCCCTCCTCCCCGGCATGCGCGCTGGGGCGGTCGAAGGAATTCGGCATGCGGCGCGCGAAGCCAATTTGGAAAAAGATGATGAGTATGTTGACGCACTCATGTTTTCTCTCCAATAATCGGCAAAACCGCGTTCTTGTTGTTTATTGTCGTTGTGTTTTGTTTGTCCGAAAACTTGTGTTGCTAAGCCTGTTTCTATATGTATAAGTAGCCGTGATTTTCATTTTTAAAATCTTTACAGAACTTGCGGTTTTGAGCGGATTGTTGCATGCTCGCGCGACGACGCGCGCGTGCGTGCATTTCGTCCGTTTTTGGTAAGGGACTACTGGAAATTGTTGATGTTTGGTAACCGAGAGCTCGCGCATAGTATTTCTTACGAGGGATGAGGAGGGGCGCGATGCCGGCCTGCCTGGGATGCTATAGATTTATATTCCCAAGTCGTGCTTGCGTTGAAGGGATCTTAGCTGATATTGAGGCGACAGTTCCGGGCCGATTTCGGTAGGCGGCTGAGTTCCCGGGTTCCCGGGCTCAGGGTTTTTCGTCGATCTTCTTATCGGTTTCGCCATTGATCTCATTACCCGTTTCTCTGTCGATCTAACTCTCGACCTCTCGGTCAATTTCGTTATCGATCTCACAATCAATCTCATAACATATTGCACGAGTGATTTCGCGATCGATCACACCATCGATCTCAGGGAATCGACTTCGCTATCGTTCTCACGATCGACCTTACTATCGTCCCCTTTATCCATCCCGCTCTCGATCTCACGATCGATTTCATTGTCGATCTCCGTATCCATCTCACTCGGAGGGTGTTTCTTTACTGCTTGAGGCATGATGGGCGTCATGGCCACCGGCCCCCCAAAAATGATTGCCGTCGTCGGCCCGGCCAAAGAAAACAGGCTCCAACCGCGTCCGCGCGCACGACGACGATTAGCGACGAGCGGGGAGCGACGAGCGACGAGCGACGAGGACGAGGACGAGGACGAGGACGACGACGACGACAACGACGTCGACGACGTCGACGACGACGACGACGACGACGACGACGACGACGACGACGACGACGACTGCGGACCAGACTCCTATGCGGACACTTATGCGGATTCTGATGCGCACGGCGGCAGTGCCCGGAGGGCACTGGGGGGGGGAGCTTTACGTTATGGGGGTGACGGGGGGGGAGGGGGCCGATGACGTCACGTTTCGCGCCGGCGGCGTTTGGGAATGCCTAGGAATGACCGAGGACGGGTAGCAGCAGCATCTAGGTGGCGATCTGCATCACAGCGCCCGTGTGCATCACAATGCTTGCGTGCACCACAGGGCCGGTGTACACCACGCCGCCTACGTGAACCACTGCAGCCGCGTGCAACACAGCGCCAATGTGTGCCACAGTTCTTGGGGGCACCACCGCGGTTGTGTACACCGCAGCGCCTGCGTACACCACATCAGCCGTGCGCAACACAGCACCAGTGTACACCACAATGCCTGCGTGCGTTCCAGCGCCTGTGACACTACGGCGCCCTTGTGCACCACAGCAACCGTGTGCAACAGAGCATCACGGTCGCATATAGAATTTTTCAAGGAATCTTTATGACAAAATGGATCGCCTGTGGACTACAGAGAAGATTTGTTTCATCTAGGATTTGGAACGGAATCCTTGGAAAAAGGGGGCCGTTGAAATCTACGCGTCTTTCCGAGTCCGCCCGCACCTTCCTAACTCCCCCTATCTGCGTCCAGGAGGCTCCAGCAAAGTTGGCCGTCCGAGAACCAAGTGGGTTGATTCTGCGGCTCACGCTGAGATGCGCACGTGCGCTGTAGCGCCGACCCGCACGATAGGGGGAAGGGTGAGGGAGGAGGAGAAAGAGGAGCAGGAGGAAACGGAGGATGAGGTGGAGGTGGCGGAGGAATGAGGAGGGAAAAACGTCGCATTTTTCGATCAGCATTTCCTTGGCGTGGCGTTTAGCTGTCCGCAGCAGATTTTCACCTACATGCTCCTGCTACCTGTCCTGTGCACGCAGGCGTTGTGGTGTACACCTGCGCTGCTTTGCACGCGGATGCTGTGGTGTCGACAGGCGCTGTGGTGTGCACAGGCGTTGCGGTCCACGCAGGCATTGTGGTGTACACAGGCGCCGTGTTGCACATGGTTGCTGCGGTGTACACATACGCTGTGGTGTACACCGGCGCCGTGGTCCACGCAAGCACAATGGTGTACACTGGCGCTGCGTTGCACACTGCTGTTGCGGTGTACGCAGGCGGTGTTTTTTACACACGCGATGTGGTACACGCGAGCATTGTGGTGTTTACAGGCGCTGTGGGTCAGATCGCCGCGTACATGCTGCTCGCGTCGTCGTCGTAGTCGTCGTCGTCGTCGTCGTCGTTCGTCGCTCGTCGCTCATCGTTGTCGTGCGCGAGGGCGCGGCTGTTGGGTCGGAGCTACACGGTGGGGGGGGGCCTTACGTCATCCCCCCTCTCCGCCCCCTCCCCCCCCACGCCCGTCATCGCCGAAAATAAAAAGAATTTTTTTTATTGTCAAACCATCCACTGATTGGGGTTTTTCTTTCGTGTAGTTTAGGGTAATTTAGGATGGGCGATGGTGCAGAAGCATATGTAAATTGCAATGCGAAAAGGGCAGTAACATAGGAAAGGATTAACTCCTTCTGCCGAATCTGAGGTTGCCAACTCCACTGCTCGCAACTTTATCCCGCCCGCCCTCCCGCAACCTGGCTTGCACATCTCATGCACGAGGGCATTAAAACGAAACGCGACATGCCTGCGCAAAAGGCCTTGTCGTCGTCGTTTCCGTCCTTGCCGCCGCCGCCGTCGTCGTCAACACCACGACCACCACTCCTTTTTTTCACTATCACCATGAGCAGCCAGCATTGCCTCCGTCATCGTCACCACCTTTGTCACCATCCGCAGCGACTTCGGTTCAAGATTCCTGCAGTTCTTGCCGGCCCACTCTCGAGTGTGGCAGCCCTCGTTTTCGGGGGCATGGCGTTAAACGAGCCGCTGATTGGCAGCGCGGAGCCTCCTGCTCTTCCCTCCCGCTCCTGGGATGAGCTCTGCCCGCCGGGCCACGAGGAGGCTCCCGACACGGCGACGGATGAGGACACTGGTGAGACAGAGTACTTGGACAAATTCCAGGTGGACAAGGTCAACGGTTTCTGGGAGAACACGTACCGGCTTCTGTTCCCTTTTGAGGACAAGGTTGCGTGGCCCGAGGGAGAAACAAAAATCTGTTTGACCTGTCTGAATACAGGGCAAGGCGTTATCGAGAATACGAAAGTTCTCAAGGCAGAACTGGAGAGGGGATTGATCGCGTTTGCCTACTCGCAGACGGTCGACGAAGCACAGCGAAAGGTGCTCAAGGAGAGATGTCGGGAGGATCATCACATCGACGAAGCAGAATTAGACAAATTCATGTGGGATCGCCCAGATGGCATCATTGCTTTGGTGCAGACTTGGTCCGTCAAATATAATGCTGAGTTCAAGGGCAAGTTTAAAGTGCTGGATCGAAATCCCTCAGAGCATCTTTTCGAGCCCCAGGCGGTGGCTGAGTTCGAAGAATCTATGCGCAGAATATTTGGAAAGGAGGCCTTGAAAAAAGTTGGAGTCAAGTTTTGCTGGGCCTCAACCTTCAACCCGTCTCCTGTCTACATTGCTCCTGCCCAGGCGCTCCTGGGGCTGCTCAGGGAGTGCGATCGTGTGCGGAACCGGCTGAACATAGCTGAGGTGATTGACGAGAAGATCGTTGTCACTGTCAAAAATAAGAGAGGAGTGGAGTCTACGAAATCGTTTAGTCTCGAAATGAACGAGGTCTATGCCCTATACGTGAAGCAAGGCTATGACACGATGGCCTGCGCAACGCCCCTCGACAAGTTCCTGCGCGAGCGCATCCTCAACAGGCGAGGGCTTGACAAGGAGAATATTCTAAAGGCTTACGCCACATCCGCCGATCCAGTGATTTTGTCGGGGGACTTATATCGAAGAGGCCTTCGGCGAATCACCGCTGCACCCCTGTCTTCCTGTCTTTTGGAACCGCCCTTATGGCCGAGTGTTGTGGCAGGAGCTCTGCCAAGCTCCCTGACCATGCGTTCCCCAGCCGCTGTGGAAGCCTTTTGGGGAACATTTGGGAGAGGATGTCGGGGAAGATGATGATGATGAGGAGGAGGAGGGGGAGGAGGAGGAGAGAATGAAGAGGAGGAGGAGGTGGAGGAGGGGGAGGAGGTGGAGGAGAAGGTGGAGGGGGGGATGACGGAAAGCGCGCGAAGCGTAGCGATCTGTTAGTCGGGGGAAATACTCAGGGGGTTGGGTTGGGGGATAGACAGCCCGACGCCCAGATGACGGAAAGTGCGCGTAGCGTCGCGATCGGCTAACCGGGAGAAATGACAAGGGGGGTTTTGGGGGGGGTAGGCAGCCCGACGCCCAGATGACAGAAAGAACGCGTAGCGTCGCGATCCGTCAGCTGGGAGAAATATCAAGGTGTGTGTGTGGGGTGGTAGACAGCCCCTGCCTGGTATGTATGTATGTATGTATGTATGTATGTATGTACGTACGTACGTACGTACGTACGTACGTATGTATGTATGTATGTATGTATGTATGTGTATATATATATGTATATATTTATAAACCCGGGCGGGGGGGAAATCCCCCCCCCCAAAACAAAACACGAACTCCCGGGATCTGGGGTTTTGGGACCCTCCGTACTTGCCTCGAAGGGGCCTCGCAGGGCGTGGCGCGCCCCCGAACGAGCCCAGAGAGCCCCAATACGGTCCACGACGACCCCCAAGAAGCCGTCATACCCCCAAAGGTCGTCCCGAACCGTCCCAAGAGGCCTCCAAGAGCAGTCCGAGGCAACACTCATTGATATTTGTTGGTTTTTGGTGAATTTTGGGGTTCTCCTCTTTTCGGCTTCTCGACGCTCCAAGACGGCGGTCTTCTGGGCGTCCGAAGCCGCCTGGGAGGCTCCAAAAACGCCCCACAACCATCCGAAAGGGCTTCCAGGCAGTTCACGAAAGCCCCCAAACGGCACACCAGGGGTCCAAGATGGCCCTAAGAGAGCCCCATGGCGGCCCAAGATGGCCCCAAGTGCCAATGATGTGGAGATTGACCAGTCTTATTCTCCTTCCGCACGTAAGCTCCGCTGAATCGAGCAATATGACTGAGGTCTCTGACCTCGCACAATCAGCTGATGAAATCAGGGAATCGCCGCAAGGACAAACATCCGATAACGTGTTATCGCTGGTAGCTCAAAAAGGGACCCCCTGAAATCATTGAGAGAAATGGCCACAACATCTATCATGTTGTCTCTTCTCTCCAACTGCTTATATACTGCGTTCCTAGCTGCGCATATACGGGCAAAACACACCCAAATTCACACAGAGTATACTATTTCCTGCTTAGAAGCTGGAGATCAGCACGTTACAAAAAAGGGCAGTGCCGTCACCATCATAGTCCAGGCGGAACGGGCCCAACGCATCCGCTCACACAGAAATTCAAAAACACATCAACTTAGAAACGAAACTCACTAGGTTTCGCCTCGCAGTGAGAGAGAATCCTCGTGCCAAATCTGCCTTGATTCCTGAAACTGGTAAACGCATCTCGCAAAGCATAGCCTGCAAATCAGATACTCGCATACTCTCGAGTCCACGACGTGCATCCGATCGGTCGTCCTCTATCATCGGACGGTGTCTGTCGATCGTCTGCACTGCAACGTGTGGTGTGAACGGGGAAGGAACAATCGCAGTCGGTAAAGCACTGTCCGCTTGCGCCTCTAACATTGATGCAGGGTCAACTGTCCTCTGTAAATACTACCACATACAAAGACACAACCAATCATCAAACAATTCTGATCATAAAACCTGTCATAAACGTCCCTGCTGGTGAAAGCACAAACCTCGACCAATCGTCAAAGGGTTGAGCCATAGACGTTGAACTTTGGCAAACTGCTTGTTCCGATGCGGTTGTCACCGCAGTTGCTGCTACAAGAACTGGCACGGAAGATCCAGACGAAAAATTGCCTGCTAAAACTCTGGCAAGAAACATGGCACGCGATGAGCGTGTCACAGATGTGCCAACTGCACTGCTCACTTCAGAATGGTATGCAAACTCATGTACATCAATCCTTGCAATCTCGTCGTCAGCGCTGTGGTCCTCCTCGGCGTCCTCTTGTAATTCAACTCGCTGTGATCTCTGCGTTTCCTCCCAGGGATCTGTCAGCTTTCGTTTCCTGAGTGAAGGTGCTCGGGGATCCGGTCCGAACGTCCAGAGATTCTCGTAGAAGACTCGGTCTTGGTATGGTGTGTTCATCTTCTGGGTAAGTCCGTCGGCAAGTTGCTGCTCGGATCGGACCCCTTTGATACCTCCATGCTGGCTTTCCTGTCTGATGATGGCTGCCTCCAGGGAAAGTCTACGATCTGATAAGTGAACACGCTCCTTCGCAACACAATCCCACTATGAACGGCAATTGTAATCAAAACTCCCTTTCACTCCTCAGCTGCTTGACGATATTCATGTCAAAGCCCACTAGCTGAACAGATATCTGCACACACACACACGCACATACTGCACGTGTCCAAAAGCAAACATCTTAAGCTTCAGAAGAGTTGTAAGCATCTGCTGAAAGGGTACTCCGCACTGCACGTCCAATGCGTCCGCTCGACCATGCCAAGAGCATACATGGATGCAGCTTCGTGAGGTCGTCCATCATATTGCCATCTCCCACCATGAAAAAAAAAACCACGTTGGCTCTCATGTTTTGGCATGTTGTCGAAGGATGCGTCGTGTGAAGCTATGATAACAGACTTCTCAAAAACAAATCCTCCTCGGAAATCCATCTGAGTCTTCCCCTCACGGCGGATAGACCTCACCAATTCTATTCAGATCTTTCATATCCTGTACCGTCGGCTTCGACGTCTGGCCAGCAAGCCGCGATGCCTCGAAACTGTATTTATGAAGCAGCAGTCGTACCACCCACTGAACTTGTCCGTTCATTCCACGAAGCGCTCGATGTTCAGCAGCGGTAAGTAGCTCCTTCTCCTGCTTAGCCCTTTCACGGGGCATCCGGTAGTCCGTTGTCGCGTCGATATAGTTGTCCATGTCGATGGTGATAGCATAGTCTTTGTCCTGCTGGAAGCGTCGTCCAGTACATGTCGCTCCTTCTGGTGCGTTCTGTAGATTATGCCAGTCTCCAAATTCCACCTGGCCCCTCAACAGCTGAATCACGTTATCACAGAACTCCTTGTTGTTCTCCATGTCGAAAGCCATGAGCATGTCATCGACGTGTAGGCATAATAGTCCAAGCAACTTCCCTTGGTTCATCAACTTGAAGGCGGCAGTCTCAAACTGCAGCTGCTCGAAGCCGATGTCTCGCATAATCTGGGCAATCTTCTTGTGCCAGGCCCTTGCCGCGTCGTTGGTGCCAGAGATGCTCTTGTTGAGCTTGAGTAGGCTTCCCTCTTCGATTCCAGGTGCGCTCATGCCCTGCAAGTTCCGGGGCATCTTGAAATGCAGCTCCCTCTCAATCTTGAATCCCTGCAGAAAATCTCCAGTGGCATCGCCAGTCTAACGTGAAAATCGCTTGCACGCGGCAATGCTGCATAACATATTCTGAATAAAGGATAAGCATGTCGGTGAATCTCTTCGTAGCTTCTCATCGTACTTCTCTTAGGAACTTTTCCCAACGATGCGACATTTGGGCTGGAAGTTAGGGTCCTGATCACGGCCCTTGTTCGTGCATGCAGCTCGGCTCTCGATCTGCATCGACGTATCGATCTTCTTTGCCATTGTCGGTGAAATCACTGTCACAGCGTCGTACTTCGTCCAGGGACTCCACTCTTTGATAAGTGCGTCGAGACACTTCTCGGCGCGTTCTCGGGTATATCCGTCGCCACGATGGAGAACCTCGTGTATGTCCAGCTCGCCCTTCGACACTCGGTCAGCTCGTTCAGCCGCGAAAGCTTCGCACGTGACGGCGTTGGTGGCATGGGCGATGCGCAATCTATTGTTGTTCTCGGTGACGTGACCGTAATGTTGCGACCAAAATGTGTTCGCCCTCCGTGCGCAGTCTGGGATGCTGGCGTCTTCCTTGTAAGTCTCGATCGTCCAGCTCGCTCTGTCTCACCTTGTTCACGATTCGCTTGTTGGCGAGTTCGTTGTCGTTTTCGTCCATCTTGTTCTTCCGGTGCTGCGCGAGGCTGAGGTCCATAGTCAGTCGATCGAGACGGCGCATTGGGTCTTGCCGCCGATGTTGGAGGCGGTGCCGGATTGCCCGGTCCAAACGACTGAGGCGGTCATTGAGGTTCAGTGCGTCCGGGAGACCGGTTTTGTCGAACAACATTTGGATTCTTCTTTTGTCCATTGGAAGGACCATTGTTAGTCCGATACGTATACTCAACCACAACATCCTCCATATCCATATCACGTACCAGAGGAACTTCAAAGGGTACTTCTAGACTGTTACGAGAAATATCCTCACGTAGTTCCTTTGTGTCGTAGTTGGATGCGTCGCCGGAGAAGCCTGTCTCGAGGAATGATATCTTCTTCTGGTAATGGGGTCATCATACATCGCGTAATCTTTGTCGCCGGAACTGCGTCTTATGGGCCGCGGGGCTGTGCTCCAATGATCATCTCCCATGTGCTTGGTATACTCCATGATCCTTCTGGCCGCTCAGCTTGTACAAGACGTTGGTTGATCATCAGGTTCTTGGTCTGGTGCTCCCTCCATGCTCGGGTCCTGTTCGGGTTGGTCAGGGTCTGTTGGTGGTTGACTGAGATTCCTGTGGAGGCTGTGGTTGTAGTCCTGGTTGCAAGGGCTCTCGTAATGGTGCAGACGTCGTGTTCCGAAGATCAACGGAACCGCGCTGACCATGAGGAACTCCTTGCCACTCGCGCTGACCTCCAGGAATACGATCGTCGACCT